CAGGGGCTTGAACCTTGGGGGGCCTCCTGGCTCGGCAACCCTAGACAAAGTTCTTAGGACTCAGGGCCTCAGTTTCCTCATCTGTATAATAGCGATAATAATACCTTCATAGGGCTATGGGGAAGGTTAAGTGAGATGACATATACAGAGCCCCAAAAGGAGCCATTTTCTCTTATTCTTCACCCTTCTGATGCTGAATGAGGGTCTGGCTGGCCAGTGCAGGGGCAGGGCCAAGCCCACAGCCCATCGATGCCCAGCAGGGAGATGAGCTCACTCTGCTCAGCTGGCTGCACATCAGAATTGCCTGGGAGTTGACCCCACGTCTGTGTGCCTGGGGACTGCATATTTGATTGAGTGGGGTAGTACTGCTCTATTTTTATAAAGCTCCTCAGTAGATTTGAAAGTGCAGCTAAGGTAAAGTGCTTCCGGCCAGATAGGAAATTCTGGGCCTTGTCTATGGCATGAAGCAGTCTCGGGTTCTCAACCTCCTTACCTTCCCAGAGGGCTGCTGCACAGCCAGAGCCTGGGTCAGATGGGGACATGCAGGCCTTGCTCAGGTGTGGAGCTGCCAGTCCCCAGCCCCCGGCCAACCCGGACCACTGCAGTGCAGGCTGGCTCACTGAGCACCCGCTTGTTGTCGCCTGCTCTATTTCCATCATTTGGGACAGATGGCAGGAAGTGGTTGTGGGCGTCCTGCAGGCCCCGAGGATTTGGGATGGGGAGGTTTTTGGGAGCTTCGATTCTCCACCCACCCCTGGGCACCAACAGATGAGGGCCAGACAGCTAGCCTTGTGATGGGGGAGCTGAGATTGTCACGAGTCCCTGCCAACACTCACGTGCACATGCTCTCGGATGCACACAGACATATGCACATGTGCCCTGCCCCGCTCAGAGCACTGGAGGAGGGAGGGGCAAACTGGGCTGTCCCTGGCCTGCCTCTGATAGTCTGGCTGCCACCTCAGCCAGATCACAAGCTTCCCACCTGCCTCTTGCTGCCCAGGAAATGAGGGTGTCTCATTAACTGGGCAGAGACTGGAGCTGCTCATAGACAACATTCTCTTCGGGGTACAAGTCCCAGGCTCCACTCAATAATCAGAAAATAATGACATTGACACTGCTGCCATATATGGAGCTCTCACTGTGTGCCAGGGGCTTGGTATAGGGTCTCAATTATCTCGGAGGTTGATGATACTTCTCCTAGGAAAATGAGAAGACCTGGCACAGAGGAGCTAAATAACTTGTCTGCGGACACAACTAACACATGAAAGGGCTGGACCTGAACCCAGATCTGTCTGGTGCAGAGCCAGGTCAACAGCTGACAAGGTGCAGCCATGTCACCCCCTCAGGCCACCTTCCTCTCTTGGCCAGGGCTTCAGTACAAATGGTAGGGACGGGGCTCATGATGGGCCAGTGGGCATGTGTGTGCATGTGGGGCAGGGCGGGAAGTCTACAAGCACCTTTGGTGGGGGCTCCCATTTCTACCCTGCACCCTGCTGGTCAGCACAAGTCTCCAACCTCAGGTGGGGGCCCGGCAGAGGCTACCTAAGGCCCATTTAGGGGATGGACCCTGCCAAGCTCAGAGTCGGGCTAGAACCTGCTGTCTGGGGTCACTGCCCAGAGTACCCACCTTGAGAGAGGATCTGAAGTCAAGGCCAGGACGGGCTGGACACAGCGGCTGTCATCAGCAGCAGGGGACACAGGTTATTCTTCCCCTGCCCTGGAGGCATTCAGTGGGGGAGGGCAAGGGGCCGTGGGCAAAGCTGGGGATGAGGCTGGTGACAACCAGCAGCTGTCTTGCCAACGGAGCACAGTTTAGCCCTGCACCCGGGGATGCAAAGGCTGGCCTGAGAGCCGAGATGGCAGATCAGAGACGGGAGGCTCAGCCTGCTGGACAGGGACAGGCCCCCTCTCAGATGTTCTGCCTTGGTTTCCCCTCCAACTCTGGTACTTGCAGATCCCCTTGCTCCTCTCCCTGTCACATGGCTGCTCTGTGGCATCTGGGACATGGGCTGATCACAGCTGACAGATACACCTGTTCAAGGGAAGTGTCAGTCAGCTGGGGACAGGGAGCCGGGGGTGGTGATGCAGTGGCTAAACTGCTCAGGGGCCCTTCTCCCTCCCAGAGACCACATTCGGATCTCTGCAGCTGCTTGTGGGCCTCACCGGAGACACACTGAGGCAGGGTGGGGAGGACAGATGGGCTTGAGACAACCCAGGTCAGCAAAGCACCTTCCACTCTTACGGGAGATTTTGATGCCAACGGGGGATCCTTTCCTCTGTAGCTCTGGATTCTCAGCCCTGATAGGGGCTGTGGCTGGCTCAAGGTCACATGGCTAATCCAGGGGACATGGCCAGAGGTGGGGTCTGGCTTGTGTGCACTCACTTAAGGGAGCAGAGGGTACAACAGGCCAACAGGCCACAGGCCCATGGAGCCAGCCTCCAACTGGGATGGGTACCTCATCAGCTACCAGACGTGTCCCTCTCCCTGTTATCTTCTTCCATGACCTCCCCAACCCTCCCTGCAAGCCTTAGGGAACTGAGCTTTGGAGTAAGATGAAGCAGATCTCAAATCCTAGCTACAATACTTTGTAGCTTGCAATCTAGGGCAGGCCCCAGTTTCCTCATCTGTAAAATGGGTACAATACCAAGAGCTACCTCATAGGCTGCATGGGGGCCCAGGGAGATAATGCAGGGGCAGGGCCTGTTGGCCAGGCCATGAGGGGGGAGTGCCCCTCAGCCCCAACTCTTCCCCAGACTCTACCTAAAGAACAGTTGGACCCTCTTCATTCCCCATCTCAATTCAGGGCTTTACTATCTTTGGAAATGGGGGAGCAGGTGCCCTGCAAGAAGGCTGGAAGCTGGGCAGATTCCTGATGCACATGCCGGCATGAAGACCTCACTCCCTGAAGACCAGGACGGAAGCCAGTGCCACACAGCTCAGCCTGCAGTTCTCTTTGCTCTGCTCTCCTTGGAGCTCAGGTGGTTCAAGTCCTGGTGCTGCACTGGACAGGCCACTCGCCTCTCTGAGACTCAGTGTCTGTGTAAGGGGCAGTGACAGCACCTGCCTTCCTGGGATGCTGTGCATGGAAGGTCCATGGAGGATGGAGCCCACAGAGAGGTGGAGGGGCTGAACACCCACAGTGTGTTATTGGGGGCAGCTGAGGCCAGGTCCCTTGGGCCTTCTCCCAGCCTGTACTCTGAATTGCAGTCCCTGCTACCACTGGAGAGGAAGGTTATTTCCTGCCATGCCCCTGCTGACCTTGGTGAACTGAGAGGTAGCTTCCCCTAAGACTACCATCCCTTCCTGGCCAGCACTGGAAAGTGTGGGATCCATTCCAGCTCTAGCGAGGCCAGTCACATGCAGGCCACTGGCAGGCACAAGGCCAGTGCGATCCAGTGGGGCAGGGGTGGCAGAAGGCAGCATGGGGTCACAATGGCCAAGGGAAGGGCCAGAAGCACCTGCAGGACCCAAGCCACTCACTCTGTCCACTTGGCAGGGGCAGCAGGCGGCCTCCCAGCAGTAGGGCCCACAGAGGGAAGCAAGAGGAGGCTCATCTCCTGTCTGGTGCATATCTGGAGCAGCCTGCCTAGAAATCCCTGCCTCTGCGTGCGTGCAGGCCATGCAGCACCGTCAGCAGTGGGCATGGTCACAGGGTATGGCCGTGCCCTGCATGCTCATACCGACGCCTGTGGGTGCACATGACTGTGCTGTGACATGTGTGTACAGTGAGCACATAGCCTGTGAGCTCATGACAAGGGCCTGAGTTTCTCTACTCCTGCCCTGCCTGCCTGGAGGTGGCTGGGGAGATTTGAGGAAACCAGAGAGAAAGCACCTTTCCAACGTGCCCTGTCACCATGCTCCTGGTCCCCTGGGAGATGGACTAGACAGGGCAGGGCAGCCCAGGCTCTGGGGCAGTGTGGCCTGGAGCGGGTCCCCAGCCCCCTCTGGGCCGCTTGTCCTCATGGGTGAACAAGAGGCAGGAATCCACCTCTAAGGGGTGCAGTTGGGTGGAGAGTGGGAGATGCCAGCCCAGTATCCATTCTTCCTTATTCACAGACCCTCATTTTATTGAGGTCTTTTTGCTCCTCTTTCTTTCTACTTGTTGCTGCCTACGTGTGCTTGCTAGAGCTCCAGCATCCATGTTGGCCCTTGAGGTAACCTCAACAATGGAAGCCAGTGAGACAGATGGTGCCTGTGTCCCTGCCAACCACGGGGACTCTGTGACAGCCCTCCACCACCTCCCTCCAGACTTACGCCTGGGAAAGAAATGCAACCAACCTTATTCAAACCACTGTTAATTTGGGGAATTCTGTTACGAGCAGCCAGATCTAATCCTGGTGCTTTTTCTTCCTTCCAAAGCAAAACTGTCCCAAACATGTGAAGAGCTTACAAGGCAACAGGACAGGTTTTCTGAGTGCAAATTGTGCTCATTCTTCTTCATTTAATTGTCCTTTATCCTTCCCAATGCTCCACCACTATTTCCTGAACTCTGTCGCAGGCATTTTCCCTACCTCTCTCTCCCCAACCTCCTAGAAGCCCCTACAGAGAGGGAATATTAGCAGGTGTCTTGTTTGGGGTCTCACAGCCCTTAGGAAGTGGGCGTTCATTAATCATCCCATATTTAAGAGAGTCATTCACTGACCAGCGTTCAAGCAATTGACACCCCCTCCCAGCACACAGCCCAACCCAACTCCAAGGGCTGTGGGCCAGGCCCAGGGTCCAGCGATCTAACTAAGCAGGACCCACCACACAGCTCCTCCCAAATCCTCTGTCCGGCTTCTGCTCCACAGACACCTAAAGCCTCTCCTGTCCAAATGGGGTGCCAAGATTTTAGTCTCCCAGCCAGGACACCCCAACACTTACTTTCCTAAAAATGACCCTGCAGGGGACAGCAGGGGACTGAATCAGAAAAGGAGGCACAAAAGGCTCCCTGGTCCAGGGCACCCCCAGAAGCCCCTGCTCCCCACCTCCGGGCAAGCCCCCAGCCCACAGTGCCTACCTTGGCCCGCTGCATCCTGGGTGCTGAAGGAAACTGTTGCTAGCCTCCCTGCTTCCCAGCAGAGGAGAAGAGGACTGCTGGGTTGGCTGGCAGCTGCCTCATGTTTGCCTGGACCCAGACGTAATTGTTACGGTTGCCTCCTCGCCCGCCCCTTGCCCATCCCTCCCTCCCTGCCTGCCTCTCCCCGCTCCACCCCTTCTGCTTGCCTCCTTCTTCTCTCAACGTCTTTCTCTCTCTCTTTCACATTTTTGGTCTCCCTCCCAGGCTATCTGTCCCACTCTATGAATGGCTCCCTGCCCTCTCAGCCTGTTGAAGTCTTTCTGTGTGACTCTGAGCATCTCCCTCTGGGCCTTCCCTGCAGTCTTTCTCTTTCTCTAACACACAACTCCCTGCTCCCCCGGGTGGGGGTGCAGAGAGCCTGGGCTGAGGGGAAGGGGAGCTGCAGCAGGTGTTCCTGCCTGGAGAGGGCAGGGGACAGCAGGGAGCCTGGGGCGCCCCTGGAGGCATCTTACAGAGCAGGCCACCCCCACCCAGCTGCCTACTCCCCGTGCTGCTGGCCCTTCCTAATGATAGCAGTGGAGTGACCAGCAGTCAACCTCGCAGTCAAGATGGACTACAGAGGGGGTTCCACTGGGCCAGGGCCTGGGGTCTCCCTGGGATTTCTCCAGCCTCCCTGCCACCCCGGCTCTGTAGCATCTTCCTGGTGGGGACATCACTCTGCGGCCCTGCCTGGGTCCAAAATGGCCTCACCGATGAGACCACACCGCAGGAGATGGCGACAGTCACCATGACCACATCATGTCACACACAGGGGCTCTTTCGTCTCTTTCATCTGTTCCCCACCCTTAACTACCTCTTTTACCCCATGAGGGGCTTGCGGTGTGGGAGCAGCTCTCCCCTCGCCCCAGCCAAGCCCGAGCCCCTGAGACCCCCGAAGTAGCCCATCTCTCCAAGGCCTGTCATTTGGTGCCTGGGTCCGAGCTTGGGACCACATCAGGGAGGCTGAGGGACCTGCCGGATCTCCTGGGTCGGCAACTGGGGGGAAGGGCGAGGGCCCCTGGGCATCCTAGAGAGCAGAGAGCCTCCCTACCCCTCGGGAGGGCAGCCTCCTGGGCATTTGCTCAGTCCCCAGGGAAACCACCCAGGAACCAGGTGCCTAAAACCTCTGCCAAGTTTCCCTTTTCTGCACCCCAAGGAGCCAGCCTGTGCCAGTAGTTCCCATGGCAACAGAGCCCTGAGACACCCCCTCCTTTGCAGACGGAACAGAAACACTTGCCCGCCCTTCTCCTTTTCTTTCTTTTTTTTAGCCAGCCAATTAGCTCCAACTTTCAGATCCTCAGGGAAAAAATAGCCTGGAGCTGTTGACCCACTGAGGCAAGGAAGGCTGGTCTTCAGAGCGGAGGCGACCCCGGTGTCTGGCGCTGCTGGACTTCCAGAACAGGCTGGACCTTGCACTCACTGGTCCTAGCACACTGCTGTGTCCTGGGAGGACGGTGACAGCAAGCCCCGTGTACAGCTGTCAGGTGAGAGGCCAAGTTCCCTGTCAGTCCAGATGCCTTCCTGGTGACCTTTGCCTCAGAGCAAGCTCCCACAAGCAGGGCTCACTTCACAGGGGCGAGGAAGGTGAGTATCATGGTCTCACTCTGCAGAGAAGAGACCCAGAAAAGTTATAGGATTTTCCCAGGGTCATAGGCTAGAAAAGGACAGACCTGATACAAAAAACCTGTTAATTTCATCCCAAAGTGGATCCCCCAAAGTGGACCCATGGAGGATCCCCCACCCTCCATGTTCCGTACATCGGCGTGGAAACTTACCCAGCACACCGGGTAAGGCAGCCAGGCCTTACTTATGGTGTTGTCGCAGGAGGCAGGGTCACAGAAGCCCACTCCCCAAGCCAGTGCTGCCCTCTGGAGAAGCACCCACCACCAGACCACTTGGCAGGCTCACCGAGCTCCTACTACCTGGAGATGCTTTCTTCCGAGCTAATGAGCTTTAAGCTGCGACAGAACAGGACCGCTGCTCTCCCCCATCACGTCCCCATGCCTTTGGGCCTAGGGAAGCTCCCACTGAAGCAACCACCAAGGGGAAGCCCCTATTTAAGCACACATCTGGGGGGTGCCCATGCCACATCTTTGCCCAGTCCATGGCCCTTTCCAGAGCCCCAGGGACTTCCTGCTGGGCCTCAACACTGGGAATGCAGGAATGAGAAGGGCAGGAGGGGCTGGAGGCCTGGGACTCCCTGAAGCCGGGCTCCTCACTGGGCCTCACCGGGGCTGGGAGGCTGCAACAGCAGTGCAGAGGCCACTGCAAATGTTCTGGGAGTGGGTCTGGGAGTCCAGAGATTCTTTGGCAGTTATGAGACCCAAAAAAGGCTAAGGAAGGTTGCGAGAGAACCTCCCCTTGTTGGCATGAACCCTTCAGGCTGATGGATTTCAGCTGTGGTTTTCCTCACATCGGAGGGCAGCAGGTGGGGAGCCCAAGGATGGGACTCGGAAGGGGGAGAGGGAGGGATCGTTCCAGCCTGGAGGACGGCTGTGACTCCTTACGGTGCACTCGAGCTCATCACTTCTAAGAGGAGGCAGTGGTGAACCCTTCCGGCTGGCTAAGGCCCTGCTCTAACCCCACCTTGGGGAGGGCTCTCACGGCTCCTACCCACAAGTCTTGGGGTTTTCTGGACCTTCCTGAGTTGTTGCTCACAGTCCCCTCCACTCCAGTCCCAAGCTCACAGCCCCCCTCTTTCAGCACGTCAAACCTGGCTCCACAGAGCCCCCGCCTAGATCTTTTCTCTAGTCTCTTTTCCTGGGCCATGACTCTCCGGTCCCTGGCCAACGGGGTGTGGAGGGGAGAGAGGGCATCAGCACAGTGTCAGGTTTTGGGTCCGCACCCCACCAAGAGCCCTAGCAGGTAAGGAAGGCCCCTCGGGGTCATGTGAAGCCCTTCTTCACAGGAGCTCAAAAATGTCTGCCCCAAAATGGCACCCCACCCGGATGCTGCTGGCCCAGGGCATCACCACACTGCTGAGCCAGCACGGCTGTGGGGCAGCAAAGCCACTGCATGGAGCCGTACTGCGTCTTCCACCGGACCTCACCGGCCCCTGGTCCTGCCCTCTCGCAGCTGGATAGAGACCTGGCAGGCCCAGGATGCTGCTCTGTGGGGAGATACAACAGTTCGGTCCCTTCCCACAGCATGGCCTAGCTCAGGCCCAGGCCCCTGTGGCGGCCAGCCGTCCTGCTCTGCAGTGGGGCCCGTGGGCAGCAGGGGCTGTTGCCGGGGCCCCGCTGGAGCTCTCCTGGAACTGCACTGGGGCTTGGTGGATGTGTAAAGCTACACCTCACCCTCCTGTGGGCATGTCCCCAAGACCCCAGAGCCTGGCCACTGCTGGGCACCTCCCTGCCACCCACCTTACTAGGGTATTTCACAAAGGCCCAAAGGGGGCCAAGGAGCCCCAACACCCCATGGCAGTTCCACCTTCTCTCTGCTGAGGTCTGTTCCCTCTCCAGGCGAGCCTCCTGGCACCAGGCCTGAGAGCCCACACTGACTCCCTCCCATGATGCCCTCACTGGGACCAGCGGCCCTCTCTGAGGCATGGCCAGCAAAGGAGCCCGCCTGGCTCTTGCCCTCTAGGCTTTGCAGATGGGGGCCAGACATCAGTCCACTGGATTTCTCAAACTGCACGGACACCACGAAGCTCTCTGGGGGATCTTTAAAGCCCCCATCCTCTGACTTGAAGCAAGGGCACCCCTCTGCCAGGGTTCAGTTTATGTCCCCCGAATCTCCCTCCTCTAACTCAACAGTTGACTCCTAGATACCTCAGTGTGGGGAGGGTTCAGGCTGCCTAAAATTCTGCATCACTTGCAGAGGTCCAGGGCCGGGGTCACCTCTCTGCACACACCGGCCTGCCCCCTGCCCCTGGCTGCAGTGGTCAGTGCATCATGTAAGATGGCTGTGTGCCAACTGCTCCAGGAATGGCACATCCAGGAAGGCAAGCAAGGATTAGGGACCAAGGAGAAGGGGCTTCTTTTCAGCACGTGGCCTGTGGACCAGGCTGGCTCCTAGCCTCCTGGGTCAGACCCTGGCATTCAGTCCCCAGAGAGCCCAGACACTAGGAGCTAGGAGTGGACAGGCCCTGGCCCTGGGAGGGTAGAGGAGGGGTGCACTGTCCACATGCGCCCAGAGCTGGGCCATGGGCTGACTTCAGAGAATTCAGCTACCACCTGAAATGCCATCACCAGTTGATCCTTTTGGATAAGTTGTGCCCTTTCTACTAAGCCTGCATGCCTCTGTGCCTTGGTTTTCTCAATCGTAAGTAGGTGAATAATAGTGCCTACCTCTTAGTTAACTTATGTGAACTGCTTGGCACACTTCTGAGTTTATACTCAGAGCTCAAAAGATGTTAACACTTTTTGCTTGTCTCCTCAGCTAGCCTGAGCAGATCCCTAGCCATGTGGCCCTTCCTTTGCACACCTGGAGCCTACTGGAATGGTCCTGGCCAACCACCTGGGACCTCAGAGGCCCTGGTTCACGTGGTATGTCTTTGGCAGAATCTGCCACTTATGGCTCACAGGGTCTTTGGTCTGGGATGGCCAGACTGAAGAGGCTGGCAGAACACCCTGGGGCCTCCAATCTGTCGTCCCTCCTGCCATAGGGACAGCAAGGACACTCGGATCAAACCTCCTTGGAGACGGGGCCTCCCCCACTGCACACCCACTGAAAATGGCAACTGGCAGCACAGCCAGGGCCACCAGGGCCAGGAGACCTGAACCCAAGTCTGGCTGGGCTCCAACTTCAGAGACCTTGAACCAGCATGTAGCTTCTTGGAGCTTCACTTGCTCAACCGGGAAACAAGGACAGCCCCCCACCCACCACTCCTTTAGGACAGATCAGCACGTGACCATGAAGGGCTTTAGTTTTGCACCTAAAGTACGACTGGCATTTTAGGATCCCAGCATTTTCAAACTGGGAAAATATGTAATATACTTTTCTCTGTCGCTATTTCTGTCTCTCTGTCACCTGCCAAGAGTGTCATCCTTATCCCCAGGTTACCAGAGCCTATGCCATACTCTCCAAGCTATGCTCCTTTGGAAAGTTAATGTCCCATTGTCTGGGCAAAGATTTCTGGATACCAGAGTCAGTGAGTGGCAGCCTTTCCCAGTTCCCAGAGGGAAAATCAGTTAATTTTCATGACCACTACTTCTGATCGTGGTGGAGTAGATCATTAGAATTAAATTCCCATCTGAGAACAACTTTAAAAAGCTGCTCAAAATAAATTTTTTTCAAAGTTTGATGGGGGGGATCAGGGAGCAAACAGGCAGGGAAGAATCACAGGGCCAAGATCTCGGGAAAGAAGGAAACAGAGACATGCGCCTGGCATCTGGAGCTGCTTTCTCCCTTGGGGGTCCGCTGATTCCAGGAGATGATGAGCGAGCTCGTTAACAGCCTCTGGGACTAAGGGGGCAAAAACTGAGCCCACCAAGAGTAGAGGGTACCTGGCAATCTTTTATGATTTCAGTTGGGACCCCAAATCATCTCAGTCCCTGCAAGTGGATTAAAACAGTCCTGATTGGCTAGATCCAAAGACACCTTCCATGTGTAAATATAATACTCATGGAGGGAGATTACTTCATTCTATGCCTCAGATTATTTCTACAGGTTTTCAGATATAATGCACAGTACCCAGTAACAAATTGCCAGGTATGTGAGGAAACAAGACAAATGAACAAAAAACAAGAGAAACAATAGAGGCTAGAGACAGACTCATACAGGATCCATATAAGGGAGTTACTGAAATTTAAAGTAACTGCTTGGTTTGATCAAATATATAAAAGATAAGATAGGCAATTATGATAAAGAACTAGAAATGATTTTTTAATCATTTTCTATTTCTATTTTTACCCCATCAGTTTCATTCTTGAAGTGCAGGGTGCTACAGTCCCCCTGTGCAAGGCAACAGAGGAGAAACAAGCCAGAAAACCCTGGAAAAGCCAAAAAGAGGCAACTATGCTACATTCAATGCTTGTTTGAGAGTGTGTTTGCCATAGTGACAGTACACTGTGTACACACCACTCTAATTCCTAGTAGTAAATTTGCTGCTGGTTTGTAAGATGTAATTAAACATAACCACCCCCTGAAACAAAGCAGACTATACAGTGTTACAGGGCTTTGCACCATGGAACAGGGACCCACCTCCCTCTTCCCTTGTACCTGCCCAGACCCAGCTCTGTCCCTGGCCCAGAGCAGTCATGGCAAAAAATAGCAGCACAGGAGCATGTGTTTTGTGCCAGGCCCCTGCCATGGGCTTTCCACACATTGCCTTGCTTTTCACAACCCTATGAGTTGGCTATGACTGTTAACTGTATTTCATAAACGGAGAACTGAGGTCTAGGGGACCCACATAACATATTCGAGGCACCCCAGCTATCAGGCGTTTGAGCCAGATTGCAAGCCCAGGTCTGCCCGCTCCCTGAGTGGGCCCTGTTCCCCATCTGCTGTGGGGTAACCCCTGGATGCCTGTGGTCAGAAGGGCCCTTGAGTCTCCTTCCACAAACACTCGTGAAACACCGACTGCCAGGGGCCCCAGCTGGGAGGGCCGCTGTAAAAGACCCAAGGGCAAGGCTTAGGAAGCGAGAATACTTTAATGGATCTGAGGCCCTATCCATCCCCTCGCCTCTCCCTTCCTCCTCTTCCCCATTTCTGGACCTCAGTGTCCAGCATGCAGAGGGCACGGGATGGGCCAGGGATGACCCTAGGCCACATGCACTGGACAGAAGGAGAAGGGCCAGTGGGCACAGTCCTGTGTGGCCACAAGATCGCTCCCAGGAAAGCTGGGGGTTGGGGACTGATGTAGAGGGAACTTCTGGGGAACCTAGGGGGAGTCCCTGCTCTGGCCCAGGCCCCAGGTACCTTCCAAGGGAGTCAGTGCCCAGAGAGGAGCTGAGGGCCAGCAGCACTATTTCCAACCCAGGATGCAGGCACGGGACTCAGCCTTCAGGCAGGCCTCCCTCACCCCACTGAGGGACCTCAGCTCCCCAGGCAGTGGAGGGCTCAGGGGCCATGAGGCAGAGTCTGCAGGTGGCCCATGCCTGGGCCATGGTGGCCCCTGGCCTGCTTGGTGACTTCACCTGATTAGTTTGGTTGGACAGGAGGGATTCCTGGGGGCCAGCAAGATAGCAGGATAAGGTAAAGAGGGGTTGAAGGGGGAAAAGGGCTTCCTGGAGGGAGGATAAAGGACTGGAGAAGGGACAGAATGAAGCTGGGGTAAGTTGGGAGGCTAAATGAGGAAAAGGGGCAAGGAGCTTGGTGAGGGGTTGTGGTGGGGCATGAGGAGGGGAGGGCGGGGACAGAGTGGGATCGCACAGGGCCTCTGTCCCACCCAAGGGCAGAGCAAGGGCTTCCGGTAGGTGGAGAACAGGCTCTTCCTGGTGCTAACATATTGCAGCAAGAAGGATAAGGGTTAGACACTGGAAGAACCTGTTGGCTCTGTAGCTCAACAAAACTCAAGTGTGTTTTTGAGAATGAATGAAGGGGTTCATGAGCAGAAAGGGGTTAGAAAGCAGACAGGCAAATGGGGTCAGGTAACTGGAGGTGAGAGACAGTCCAGGCCTGGCTGCCAGCCTGGGCTCTGGGACAAGAGCAACCCAAGTCTTCTGGTCCGGGCCAAGTCCAAGGGGGAAGGCAGGCGGCGTGGGCATCACCTCACAGCCAGCAAATATCACTGTTACATCAAGAACCAAACAGGGGGCGGGAGATGGGGCGGGGCCAGGGCCTGTCTGCCCTGCCACCGGACGTGCCACACCCAACACCCAGACCCCGCCAAATCCCAGAACCTACTGCCTCCCTGGGACCTAGAGGTCCCGGTTTCCCTTCCATCTCACGTCCACCCTAGCATCAAGGAATTAAGAGGGCGGAGAGACTCACCCACAGGGGCCCTACAGCTTCAGGGACGTGACCCGGGGAATGTGGAAGAGCTGAGTCTCCTCAGAGCTGGTGGAGCTGTGGCATTGCAGAGAAAGGGGCATGAGGACCAGGTGGAGACCCCCAGCCCCTCAGCTGCCCACCTTGGAAGCTCTCCAGGGGCAGGAAGAATTCCACAGAGCTGTGCCTGGGTGGATGTGCTCCAGGAAGGACAAGATGGAGCAGGCCCCGGGAGCACCTGCCTGGCCCCCGAGCTCCTGAGTGTGTGACTCTTCAGGGCTAGGCATGAGCCTCCTCCACCTGGGAGGCCTCAGGAGGGGTGGGGCAGGGGGTCCACAGCCAGAAGTACCCTTCCTGGGTCCCCACTTTCCCCACAGTCTTGGCAGCCTCCTCACCTGAGGCGTTTCCGGATGGGACGGAAGTATTTGGAGGTCTTGACGGCGAAGACGATACTGGGGATCAGGAAGAAGGCACACCACGAGAGGCAGAACCAGAAGGCATTCTGGGGTGGAGGATGTGAGGTTAGGTCACTGCAGCTGAGCAGCGACCTCCCCACCCCACCCCACACCCCAGTCCCCCAACTTTAATGAGGGGTACTGGGATGCATTCTCAGAACTGAGGGGAAGGGCTGGGGTGCAGGCCTGAGGGCAGGGGCCCTGCCTTGCCTCATGCCCTGATCTCACTGCCCCTCTCATGGGGGTCTCAACAACCATAAGGCCTGATGAGCTGAGGGCACTCACCCAGGGGTCAGCCACCATGTCACACAGGATGACACGGCCATTGTCCAGAGCTCTGGAGAGGGGCTGGCAGGTGGCAATGCGCTGAGTCACCTGTGTGTCAGCATGAGGCAGGCACATGCGGAGAGGCTCAGCCCCACAGGGGCATACCTCACATTCAGAGAAAGGTTGACAGGGACACAGAGAGGCTCAGGGACAGTTGGAAGCTGCTGCAAAGTAGTACACAGACACATGGTTGCAGGGGCACAGAGAGATGAGGCCATGCTGACATAGGCTCACTGCTCAGCCCCCGCCCCTTCCATCCCATTCAACAGTCAGTGTTAAGCTGTGTGCCCAGCACTGCTCCTTAAGTCACATTCTCACTGCACAGGCAATGCTTATGTGTGTGCATGCACACACATATACACTGCGCACCATGCACATACTCACTCATGCACGCACAGGGACACTCAAGGTTAGGCAAGAGCTCCACCGGCCTAGTACAGATGCTAGATAGCTAGCAGAGGTTGTGGTCAGCAAGCACCTGCAAGGGGAGGTGGGCTTTGAGGGCTGGATTGGTCTCAGACAAGCTAAGCAAGGGCACCAGCATAGGGAAGGGCACAGGACCAAGGTGTGGACAGCATGGTCTGGAGAGCCACAGCTGGCCCAGCTCACACTCGGGCTGCAGAGAAGGGCTGTGGCAGAGGTTGTGTGAGCGGAGCCCAGCCAGAAAGCAGGGGTGTGGCTACAGAGCTGGGAGTTTAAGTTCAATCCTGCAGGCCTAGGGCACCTCCAAGGAGCTCTAGGGGGCAGAGGAGGGGTAAAACAGGGAGAGGAACTGGTATCGCTGGGAGCTTGTTTGAAGCCAGGGGTATCTGAGACCCCACTCACCTGCTCTCTCACCCAGGCCACATACTGGGAAAAGTAGTCCAGCTCCCGGGCCAGGAAACACATACTTTCCTGCAGGAAAGAGAGGAGGCCTGGGCTGGTAGGGGTCCCAGGAACCAGCACCCCTTGCCTCTCCTGCTTGGTGCCATCAGGACAGGCTGAGCTGGCTGTTCTGGGAGCCAAGGTGAGGGGACAGGGGAGGAGAAGCCTGGGATGGAAGCCCCACGTGCATAGCCCCTCAACCCACCTCTGCTCTGAGGCAGACCCTGCCCCTGTCCCATTCCCCCTCTCACATTCCTCAGGATTCGGGTGGCCTGCGTAGGCAGCTCTTCTTTCAAGTAAGTTACCCTATGCAGGACACCTGAGGTCTCCAGCTGGGAGGAGAAAAGGGCTCAACTCAGCGCCCCGCTCCATCAGAAAGCAGTCACTCACTCATCCATTCATGAATTCAACGTGTAACACACAACACACTCACCTTAGCCAGGTGACACAGAGGCTCTCAAGAACCTGCCTACCTACCCCCGTGTCTTCCCACCCCACCCTGAACCTCCAATGGGACCAGAGACAGCAGGCAATGTCCCAAGCCAGCTGGGCCCCTACTTGTCTTCCCTCTGCTGCCCACCTCCCATCCCCAGCAATCACCTGGAGACTTGGGGTGGAGGATGCCAGGGCCCTGACACTGAGATTGAGCTTGGCCTGTGGAGAAGAGATCAGGGCTAGTTAGGGGAAGCAAATGGTAGAGGAGGGTTCTGAGGCCCTCCCTCCTCTTTCATGCCCCTTCTCTGCCTCTCTTATGCCCCAGAGCCCAGGCTCCCTGTGCCTCCAAACTTACCACGAGGATCTGCTGGGGGAGGACCTTCTCCTGATAGAGGTTTCTGAGCCCTTGGGCCTCCTCCTGCAATTGCTGCCCCAGCACAGAATTTCTCTGAGGGGACAGGGATCAGAATCGTACTGTGCCCAGGACAGGACAGCTTCTGCCAACACATCCTTCACCAAAGTGTTCACCCGGATACAAAGAGGGCATGTGGAAAGTGCTGGGCTCAGATGCCAAAAACCAAGGCCTCCTTGAGCTCCTCAGCCTGATCTGGGTTTGGGGGTGGCCTAAGTCTAAGTTCTAGGCCCATCCCTTGCTTGCTAGGCGCCCCTAAGTCAGCCACGGAAGCCATCTGAGTGGCAGTGGCATCTGCTGGAACTGAGGAAAGCCCCTTGCCCTACCCGTCATGTGAGGATGGTATGAGGCATATGACATCTCAAAGAGAAACTCTTTAAACTCTGAATATTTATAAAAAAACCCAATTTTCTCCAGTAGAGCTTCAGCTGCCAAGGACAACTGTCATGACATCTGATCTGCCACGCTGACCTCACACCTGCCCTATTCCACAGTAGTGTGCACTTAAGGACGGAGTGATGTCTCCCCATCTGATCTCTAAGTATCTAAAGGATAATCCACTTCACACAGGAAGAAACTGAGGTCCACAGATGTTGAATGACTTGCCCACATAACCAATTTGCGGCAGAGCTTGAGTGAGAACTAGTGCTGCAAAACCTTCAAGCCCCGCCAGGGGACCAGAGAGCCCCAGCCCTCACCAGTGGGCCCTCAATCCCGTCTCTGCCCTCACCCCTTCCCCAATCCAAGTGCTCCCTCCCTCTCCCACCTCCCAGGCTGCCCTCTGACTTCTACTTCCCTAGTCAGACCTCTGCTCCCGTCTCACTTGGGTCTGTGCCAGTCTTCCCAGCTCCTGGGCCAGCTTCTCCACGTCAGTGTTCACCAGGGGCTTTCGGATCTGAGAAAGGAAAGGCCAAGAGGGGATGAACCCTGGCTCCCCAACCCTCTAACTCCCAGTATTTTTCAAAGTGCCCATACCAGCTAAGTCCACTCTGACACGTCAGTCACAGTGGGTCTGCCCTGAAACTGTGAAATATATCAGACATTTTCCATTAGGATAAAAGGGAAAAACGAGGCACGTTCTGGTGTAACCCAACCCAATGAAGAGGCGAATTCCCACCAGCATTCTCCAAGGCAGTGGGTTCAGGACCATGAACAGCGACACATGCTGCTGGGAATGGGGCTGGGGGACACATGGTCTGGGGACACCCTAAAGAGGAAGAGGCTCCAGGGACATATGGAGGAGTCAAGGGAAGGTGGAGAGCCAAGACAAGACAGGACGAGATACCCCCCCGGCAACTATGCAGGCCCCTGGTTCTGCCATGGGCTGGACTGAGGTGCTCGCTGCTGACCTGAACGAGGAAGCCAGGGTAGTGGATATTCTCCAGCCCACTGCTCTGCAGGGCCTCCAGGTCCCGGTGGGCGGCTGGGCTCAGCAGGTCCAGATTCTTCGTGTCCACTTTGAAGCTTTCCAACTTTTGCTGCAGCTTGGCAGTATACTGGGAGGGAGGGGACTGGGTAGGGGGCATGCCCAGCTGCTGAGCCAGGACCCCAGAGCTGCTAGCCTAGGTGAAGGGGTGGCTTCTCTCCATCCCCATAGTGCCTTCCCCAGAGGGAGAAGAGGCCTAATCTCTTAGCGGTGGCGTCTTAGAGCAGCATTTCAGCATCAGTAACACAGGTACAGGAAATGTTTGAAGGTGGCAGAGTCCTACTCATGCCCTGGGAAGTGCTTCTTGTCTCATTTATCTCTTAAACCTCAGCTCACTAGTATCTCCTTTGAGGACAAGTACTCTCAAGGTCACATTTCATATGTTACCAGGTGGCTCTCAAGGACTGCCCAGTCCCTCTGAACCTGAAGCCCTGTTTGTCCAGACTCTCTGTGAACTGGACCCCTCCCCTCCCAGGCCTCTCAGGCCAGCCTCCAGCCATGGGGCAGTGCCTGCTGCCCAGCACTGGGACATGGTCTGCTCCACGGACCTCTCGTCTGGCTAGAGATGCTGAAGAGGGAAGCAGCTAAGGCACTGTGCAAAGTGCCCCAGGTTACATACTTCCATACAAGGAGCTGGGACTGAGATCCGGACCACTTAGCTATGGTACACCATGGGCTGAGGATGCATGGTGGACTCAGAGGAGTTGGAAAGGTTCCTGGAAAGGATGCAGAATCAGGACTCAATGTACTGGGGGGAGGATGGCAGGTGGAGAAATGGGGGTCTTCACAGGATACGCTCGGGAAAGGTTCCCCCAGTTCCTGGAAGCCGAGGCAGCTCTACTCCCACGTCACTTAGGCGTGGAGAAAAGGATGGAGGGAATGTGCTACAGCTTCTGCATATTCTTAGGAAAACCACATTCTCAAAGTTCGTCCCCTCACATGAAGTATATCTTCCTTCTCTCTGTCCTAGACCTGCCTCTCACCAGCAGGAGTAAGATTCTCCAGCTCTACACACCCAGCTCCAGTAAAGTCCAGTGGTTAAGGGAACAGGCCAGGCAGGGTGGAGAGCCTGTCAGCACCTACTAGCTGCGTGAGTTCAGTCAGGGGGCTCTGGTGGGCCCTCTCCTAGGGACACCTGAGGTCATCACCATCGTTTTCACTGCCACACACCCTGCCCCAACCACCCTACTCCTGACTGTGGTATCCCAGCAATAGCTGTCCTGGGTCAGGACACACACATACACGCCTTCACATTCGCTGGCACCATCCTTTCCTGCTACAATCTCAGCTGTGGCTGGTTTTTCCCGGAGCACAGTGCTCAGAGCTCATCACATCCTGCAGGCTCTCACCCATCCACCTACACATGCTAGAAAGCTCATGCTTTGGCCCTGGGCCAGGCCCTGAGCTTGCAGCAGGGGCCTCTGCCCTGGAGGCGCTTCCGTTGCTCTCACAGACTTCTCGGTTTCAGGAGATGGTCCTACCACAAGGCAAGACCAGAGGGGCAGGGATCTGCAGGAGGGGTCCCCACAGACTTCCGGGAAGTTCCCTTACCTGGCTGATGTCAAGGTGTTCCTCCAGGTTGTAGGAGTCATTGAGCTTAAGGACCCTCCAGAGCGAAGCCCCTTCCTTGCACTGTCTGGAGAAGAACAGTTGGCATTAAAGATGAAAGGATGGCAGGTGGGAGCTGTCCTCGCTACTGGGACACCCACCTCGGCCCCTCCTCATGCCCTGTGCCCCTGCCCAGGCTTCCCACTCACTGATAGGCCAGGTGGATGCTGATGTTCTTCTTTAGGCCCAGAAGTTGGGACAAGTTCAAGGATGAGGGCAAGTTCCCGGGGGTATCTGCAAACTAGAGATGGAGCAGGAGAAACAGGCCTGGAGGTGGGTCGGGGCAGGGCACTCCTGCTTCACTAGGGCCTGGTCCCACACCACCCTGGTAAGCAGAGACCACACCCCTGTGACTCCAGCCTGAGCCTGCCTCTAACTCAGTCACCCTGGGTCCTAACTCCTTGCAGAGACTCTTCCCACAAATCTCTGGGAGGTGTGCCCAGCCTGGTCTTCAGCAAAGAATCTGGGCTGGCACCTCAGCTCATCTGCTAGAAGTGCTGGGGAACCAGGACTCGCATTTTGCAGACTCTGCAAACAGAGGGGATCAGGCCTGGGTGCAGTTCCTGGGCCCTGCTGGGGCCTGGGTATTAATTACCCCAGGGACCACTGGCTCTTGCTCTCTCTCCTTTTCTTCTGGTGGTTTCCTGTCCTTCCTTAGCTGTTTCCATCATTCCTCCTGTCCCTCCCTCCCTTTTGCTCCCTCTGACTCCCACATCCTTCTAACCCTCCGGCTCTACCTGCATCTCCCCTGACCTCCCTCTGGGCCCCAGAGTGGCGCAGGCCCACCTCGTAGAGCTCCCCACTCTCCCAGCTTCGGCACACCAGTGTCTGCACGTTGCCTCCCACCAAGAAGGTGGCAAAGACGAGGAGGATGATGGGTACAGCGAAGAGGAAGCTGAAGCCCACACCCCTGGGGAAGATGGAGGGGCAGTAGTGAGATGGAAGAGCAGGCTGGCTGTCCTGGACCACACCCTCCATCCCCACCCACCTCCCAGGGTCAGCATGGTCAATGGGTCGGCCCCAGGACAGAGCTCTCCTGAGAGGCAAACCCTGCGTCCAAGGACTCAGCCTCCTGGGCCAGGAGGACTCAGAACTGCTGACTGCCCCACTTTATCCTCCCCCAGTCCCTATCCAGCTATCCCTGGCTACCTAGAGGAGAGGGTAGCTGTTTTGCTCAGAGACAGGACTGCCCACCTCTGGGCCCAGGACAGCTCCAGAGGTTGGCCCTCAGCAGGGCAACCTGGCACTGCCAGCCATGACCTGCCAGGGGGTCAGCAACCCAGGTCAGTGCTGCTGAGGCCTTCTTTTGAGACAGGCACAGCCTGGGCCAAGGTTTGAGGCTTCAGAGGGAAACAGGCAGGACTGCAGCCAGGAGCCCTTATGCAGTGACCAACTTAAACAACTGGATATGGCAGCCCTAGTCTTAGAGACCAACCCATTTAGGGATGGCAAACAGGTTCTGCCTCTGGTGGTGCTGCCTACTGGTGGTGCTGCCTGGTTGCTGAAGGTTAAAAAGGATTCTGGGGCTCTGTCTGGGCTCCGGAGGAAAGAATGACTCCTGATTACTACAGTGGCCACTGGTGTGGGAGAAGAAGTGCTTCTTATCTGCTGTTCCTGCTCTTGTCCAACCCTTTTATATACACGAGGACACTGAGGCCCAGATGGGTGAGTAATTTTCCCAGGGACACCAGCAAGTTGGTACTAAAGCCACCAGAAGAGCTCATCTCTTGATTCCCAGGGCTCCCTGCTGCAGCCACACTGGAACTGTTCACGAGCATGAGAAGAATTCTTCCAGCTCTGTGGGAGAGACCCCTCCCCTGTGCCCAGCCCTTACACCATGAGGAAGCGGGCTCCAGCTTCGCTCTTGGCTTCTGAGTGGCTGGGGTCCTCCCTGGCAGCCAGCCCCCAGATGCCCAGGGTGAGGCCCAGCAGGTTGCAGACCACCACAAGCAGGACCACGGAGCACAGCACGCAGCCCAGAGCCCACCTGTCAGAGAGAAGGGGTGGCGTCACCAAGGGAGGCAGCTGGGCACCAGGGTGGGCTGGCATAGGACCTAGTGGCTGGGTGGGGCCTCCGATGCCAAGGCTGGGCTTTAGGAGTGCAGATGTGGACACTTCGAGGTCCCGTGCCTTCTGTGGGGTCCCCAGGCTCATATCTCAAAGGCACACAGCCAAGATGGGAACACAGAGGCCCAGGGAGTAGGGGCTTAGATGGAGGTAGAGGCTTAGTACAACCAGGGTTGGTGGGGGCTGGAAATGGGGCCCAGGGTGGCTGAGAGGCTGGGTTTCTATCCCCTGGGTTCCCAGGCACCTGTATTTCTCATATCTCTGCACCTCCTTCAGGTAGGGGCGGCTACTCTGTGCCACATTCTCTAGTGCCTGGCTCCAGTGAGAGGCTGCCTCCCAGTCGGGGAACCCTTCGGCCAGTGTCCTCAGTCCTGCAGGCTGCTGGGCCACCATGTTCTTCAGCTCTGCCCAAAGCAGCAGGGACTTATGGGATGGGGAAGGTACCAAGGGTCCAGGGAGGAGACAGATGGGCATGAAGAACATTTGGGACCACAGAGCAGGCCCAGTCTCTGTCCAGACCCAGCCATGAGGACAGCCTTACCCTCCTCCCCTGACCCTCCACCCCACTGTCCCACCCCACTCTCTACAAGTCTCTTTGCTGGGCAGCCAGCCTAGCCCCTGGCAGGGCCTCACCTCTGACCATGTTGGCTGTTTCAAAGTCGGCCAGGTACGGGAGGGCGTTGAAGGTGAGGTTCTCCTGCCAGAACAAGGGGAGCTGTGCCTCCCACTCTCCACCCAGGTGTCCCAGCCTGGGTGACCCCAATGCCACCAGGCCCAGAGGGAAAACAGCCTTCCTTTTGTTCTGTTGGTTTCTTCTCCCCTCCCTTGGCTCAGCCTGACCCAACTCCCTAAAACATTGCTCCTCAGAGACCTGTCCTTTCTGTCCCATCCCTCTTGCCTAGCCACGTGCCATGCTGTGTCTCTCCCACCTGTCCTGCACATGACTACCTGTCTATTTCCCTAAAGTCTAGCTCCAGCCTACTCCTTCAGCCTCAGCTCCCACTTCCTTCCTCCGGGAACCTTCCACTCCAGCCAAGCGGCACAGCTGACTCACTATTTCCTGGCATTTTCCAGGCCGTGGGTCACAGGTGCTGACTCACGCTGCACCCTCCCCCACAGCCCTCTCCACCCAGGAGAGCCTGCCTGCCCTCTGGGGCTCAGCTTGCGTGCTCACCCTCTTGCCACTCCAGCGTCCCACTCTCTCGGGGGTCCTAACTCTTCCTTCTGAGTTCCAGGCCTGCCTCCCCCACCAGACTGTGTGCACCCAAGAATCAGCATCATGAGCCTCTAGTCCAGGGGCACCATGTAGTAGGTGAGACTCTGATTTGACCCAGGTCTTAGGTTCAGCTGGGTTTCTCCAAGATGGGGAAGCCCCTCACTTGTGAATTCCCAGGCAGGTGGGGGAGGAGGCAGTTAACCCAGGGCAGGCACTAACCTCCTGGACCATGCTGGAGAAGTTGGCCTCCGGGACACCCTTCAGCCGATGCAGGACATCACCCACAGGGGGCACCTGAAACGGTGGGGAGGGGAGGATGGGAAAGCCACGGAGAGGCCTGAGAGAGATCCCTGCGGTGCACAAAGGGGACTCCCTTGGGCCCTACTGCCCTGGGTAGCAGTGAGAACTCAAGGAGCTAATACCCACAAAGCCCACGGCACAGTGCATGCCCCACTGCCAGGATGGCCATCATTAACCCTGGGTGTGTGGAGAGGGAGGAGCAGCTGGAGGAAAGGGACCAGCAGGGCCTCAGGAGACACCCCAGGATTCCTGCGGAGCAGGCAGAGGCCTCTCCTGCTCCAAGAGGCCTTGGTCCTGGGTCTGCACCTGGCTGTAGTTAGCTCCCAGCTCCAGGGCTTGGGCTTGACTCAGGGCCCCTGCGCAGCCCTCGCAGCCGGGCTCCTGCAGTCGGATGAGGAGTCGCTCCCGGTGCTCCGGGACAGCCAGCTCCAGGTCCCGCTGTCCCTCTTGCAGCTCCACCAAGGTGGCGTTCAGGGCCCGGAAGTGGTCCATGGAGACCTGCAGGGCTGAGAAACACCCATCTGGACTGAGCAGTCCCCACTGCTACCAGCATCCCCAGAGGCCTGTCAGAAGGCAGATCATCTCTGCCTCCCCTAATCAAAGGGCCAGCAACCATTCCCTTCTGAGGTTGAAGTGGAAACTGCCCCCAGGGCCCATTAAGTCAGGAGATCAGCGGAGATCCTAGCCAGCGGGCTTCCTAGAAGAAAGTTCTGGGAGAGTCATGGGTGGGGCTTGCTGAGCTGGCAGAAGAATCTGAGGTCTGTCCCCAGGAGACAACCCAGAACACTGGTTCCACTTACCCTGGCCCAGGCTTTGCACTGAGGCCAGGGCCTCATACACGGTGCTCCGGAGCTGGGTGTAGATACTGCCCCCAATGCTCAGGCCGATACCTGGAAAGCACAGGGCAGTCTGCAGGGCTGGCCCCCAGGAGCCTAGGGTCCTCCCCACCAGTCCATCCAGCCTACCCAGGCCTGGCTCAGGGCTCAGCAGGGTGGGCATGGGCTTCTCGGTCCTACGTCAATGTGGCTAACATGCTGCCCAGAGGGGCCCAATCCCCACCTCTGTGGGGCGCTCCCAGGTGGAGCTGGGATGAGGGGATAAGAGTTCCCCCATGCAGGCCTGAGCAGGGGTCTGCGGGCTGACTCGCCCACCAGTAACCCTCACCATCCAGTTCCTCCAAGACTCGCTGCTGGGGAAGGGAGAACTGTTGTGCCACGGCCTGCAGCTCCTAGGCAAACACAAGGCTGTGAGGATGCTCTTCCCCTGTTCTCCTACAGTCTCCACTCCGGCCCACCTCCCACAACCCTCTCCAGGCCCCCACAGACCACTGGGCATCCATCCCGAGGATACTGTGGTTGCACTGATGTATTACAGTAACTGTCCAGCAGGGGGCAGTCAGGTGCATGTTGGAAAGGGACACCCTTTCTGATTTGTAGGCAATGGGCTAATCAGCAAGACCTGCTCTACTCTGTCCTGCCTGGGCCTGCTGCTCATAGGGGAACATAGGGTGAGGAGTTACTCAGTACTCACCTGGGGGACATCAGAGACCAGGCCACGAAGGCTGAGAAGAGTCTCAGGCAAGGCCTCAGCACTGGGGCCCACCTGCTGGTGCGTGTGCTGGTTAGCGACAAAGGCACAGACCACACCAGTCCTGTGCGGATGTGGGGGAAAAAGGGGCTTGCTGGATGCCCACAGGCACCCTGGGCATCCGCCATACCTCCCGCCTGACCTGGGCACCCCTCACAGCAGCATGAGCGTGGTCAGCAGCAGGAAGACCATGAGGGTGCATCGCTCACAGGCCATTGCCTTGTGCTCCGTCTTCACTCGGCCCCCGCAGCGCTGGCGGCAGCGGCAACAACAGAAACAGAGCCCAGCGGTGGGCACCACCAGGAGGTAGAGACCCGCGATCACAGCGCATGCCACGTAGCCAGCCTCATACCGCACCACCTGGACAGGGCAGCAGGCGTGAGAGGCTGTCCTGGCCCTCCCACCCCAGCCCACACCTGACTCCACAGGTCAGCCAGAAACAGCGGGCACTTGCACACTCCTCCTTGAACCCATGTGAATGGCACATATATCCTTATTGTTTTTTATCATCTTAAAGATGAGGAAACTGAAGTCCAGGGAGGTGTGGGCTCATGCAACCCACAGCCATTTAAAATCAGGATGTTTAGAATCAAGCCTGCTTGGGAAAGAGGGGAAGGGGCGCTGGAGACCCCACCCTGGAGGGACTCCCGGCAAGGTGACTGGGTGGGGAGGCCTCCCTGTCTGCCCACCTCATGCTCAGCTCTAACTCCCCGCCCCTGCACACACCTCCCCTGTGCTCACCTCATCCACCTCCACGGAGGATGGCTCATTAAGCAGGACCTTTACCAACCCTATGGAAAGAGTCAGGCTGGGGACTTGGGGGCCATGACTGCCCTGCCCGTGTCTACTCCCACTGCCAGGTGAAGGTGGGCTCTCTGGAGGGGCTCCTCCCAGCACTATGCCACCATGGGAGAAGCCAGTGTCACCAGGGCCCCATCCCAGGATGCCCAGGCCTCAATGCTGCTACAAGGGCAATGGCTGAGGGGAGGCCTGGCCCACCTCTCCTCCTGGGCCAGACAAGTAGGCCCTGATGTGGGGAAGCCACCAGCCCCATTAAAAGCAGAGTAGGGGCCTGGCCTGGCAGTCCTTCCTCTCAAGAGGCAGGGAACAGGTTGGGAGGGGTCCCATGGCCCCTCCTGGTCCTTCCAACCTCTGGGTGCCACTAGACCCAGAGGGAAATCTTCAGTCTTTGACAACTGCTAACGTAATTACCTCTATTTTGGGACAGAGAAACTGAGGTCCAGAGAGGAAAGGGGCTTGTCCACGGTCACAAAGGAAGGTCTTCAGGGGATGCCCCTGGGTTTCTGGGGCTTCTGGGAAGGTGTGGGTGGGGGATGCTGGGGACTTCAAGGGCCTACTGACAGGTAGGAGCACAGGAGGTGGAGGCGGACTAGGGTGCTGGCTGGGACCCACACTTCCCAAAGCCCACCGGGGAAAGGGGTGCACTCACCAGCCGGGAAGGGGTTGAGCTGCACCACGGAGAGGAAGTGGCGCACTGTGCTATAGAGGGGGTCCAGGGGCCCCTGCTCGCGAACGCGAGGGGCCAGCCACCGGACCCTGGCCTCCGGGGCGAACGACAGGCGCTCCACCCTGCCGAAGGACCCACAGTCCATGGCCCCCGCCCCAGGCAGGCTCAGGACCAGCCTCAGGCCCAGGCCCAGGCTCAGCAGGGGCGCCAGGAGGCTGGGTGCGCGCGCCATGGAGTCGCCGGCGGCTCCGGGTCAGGCAGGCGAGGGACTCAGGCGACCGAGAGAGAGCGCGGAGCACGGGGCAGACCGTGCATCCTTCCCCAGCCTCAGTCCCGGCGGCTCTTAAAACCTGCTCGACAGGTTCGGGCTCCCGAACTGCCTGGGCGCCCGCCGAGCTCTGGAAGGGCAGGGGAGGAGGCCTGGGGGAGGGGGATGGCCTGGTCCCGACCCGCCCTCAGCGGCTCAGGTCCTCCCGGGAGGGTTGCCGCGGAGCGGGCCAGTGGGGCCCTTCGGTAGCTCTGGGTTATCTAGGGTGGCCCGATTTCAGAATGTACAGCCCATGCCCAGACCCAGCAGCCTAGTCTGGGGCAGGGAAAGCAGCCAGCGGGTGAAGCCCTGGCCCAAGGGGTGAAGAACGGCGGCACAGGCCACGAACCAGGCTCCTCTCCCAACTTCCTCTGGGGCCTGCTCTGTCCCCTTGGGTCATGCCTGTGCCGGCTGCCAAACCAACATGGAGCAGAGAGGCCACCAGGCTTTGTCCAGAGTGGTTCTCAGACAGGCACAGTCCGTTGGGAGGGTGAATCCTAACAATGCCCCATCCAGTCATCAACTCGGATATGTCCAGAGATGTGTTTACACAGGTCTCTGTTTTGCAAATGGCTCTGTGCCCAAAACCAGAGTGTTCCTGTAGCCGAGCAGGTCCTAGGGAAATACTGCTAAGTGGATGGGGGATGTTCCTGCCAGCGTTCTTGATGATAGCAGATACCAGGAAGGAACTGATAGAATGAGCATCCCGCACAACACTGGGCAGCCATTAAAGAAAATGATGTAGAAATGGCTCTTTAGACCTGAAAGGTACAATGCAGTCTTCAGGGGGGATCATGGGCAGTTTTTAATTCTCTTCAGCTCATCTGTTCTTCCTAATTTCTGTGCTCAGAGAAGTAATAGAAGTTTGTGAGTTTCCATGGCAGAGGGGCAGAGTGGGAGCCCTGGAGAGAGAGGCTGGGTCTGTTGTCCGCACCACCTGGAAACTCAGTCCTAGTTTGCAGCCTGGCTGAGGGGCGTGGGGGTTTTGGGCTGCCCAAGTTGGGGTCAGCAGTAAAGGAGGGAGTTAAATTTGAGTGAGGGCTGGCCTGCTTCTGGGTCCTACCTCCCCACTGCTACCCCTGCAGTTTCCTCAGAGCCTGGTGACAGAGGACACAGTCATAGAAGGAAAAGGGCAGTTAATAACAGGGTGCAACAGGAAACGGAATCTCATCGAAGGATGCCTCAGAGATGAGGACCAGGACTGCCGGGAGGAATGCGCTGAGGTGCCCCAGCTAACTTGGGTCCAAGGAGGGTGGGGCCATCTCTGCCCTGTGACTGCAGAAAAGCTAAACTCAGGCTGTCCCCACCCCTCACCCCTCCCATCTAACCTACCCAGCACCTGTACTGGGATCAACCTGGAGGCTGCCATTAGAACCAGCTGTTCTCCCCAGAGCCTGCCTGCAACTCCTCTTCTTTTCCTCCTGCTGTTAGAATTACTCCCCTGATTGCCACTTGCTAACTTCAGTCCTGTCAGCAGCAGAATGGATATAGCCCCTTCTCAGCTTGATGTGATCCACCTAAGGTGCAATTTGTAACTGCCATTAGTTGTGGTTTTTTTTGTATTTTCTGACTTGGATGCACGGGTGGCAGGGGAGTTTTGTCCCACTGGAAACCACAGGGGCTTTGGGAAATAGGCAGCCCAGCCCCCCACTCCCCGGCCCCTGGTTCCGTATCCCCTTGTCCTCTGCCTCTCTTCTCAACTATTGTAATTAAGCCAATGGGCTGCTACAACTACTGTTTTCCTGTGTCTATAATAAAAGCACTGCCCTTTGAAGGCCAAGATTTCCCTAAGAGAAAACAAACCACACCAAGTCTCTGTCTTAGGGGTGGGGCAGGAGGGTTGATGAAGATACTGAATCTGCCTATTTGGCAGGCAGACCAAGTGAGGTGTGGAAAATGGACTTTCCTGATCAGTTACCAAGCCAGTCTCCTTCAAGCAGGATCCTGATGGAACAATCTATTGGGCTGGCTGGTCAGCCCTGGTCAGCCTGGAAGAGCAGGTGGGGCTCAGAGTGCAGGCCAGGGCGCTGACAGAAGAGATGCAACTGCCACTGTAGTTGAATTCCTTGGAGAGGTGGAGAGGGTGGGCTGGGTGGGCTTGGCTGTGGGGTTGCCTCTGCAGCAGTCTGAAAGGGTGCAGGGCTAGAGGGCTTCTAAACAGGGAAGAGGCTCCAAAGATGGTCCTGTCCTGCCCCCTCCTTTAATTCACATCTTTCTGGGTACACCTGCATGTCCCTTTCTCCTGCTACCCTCAGGGACCTTCTGCTCCCCATGGAAGTCCTTGGTTAAGCTGGGATAAACTGACCTTGGTTACTTTGGGAACACTTTCTGGGGCCATTTCCCACCCCTGACTCACACATCTTCAGAAGTGGGATGGTGCCCAAACCCCATGGCCCTGGGGTGGTGGGGGCCTAGAGGTGGAAACCTGGGCCAGGCGTCTGACCTTCAGTGAGCAGATGGGCCCAAGGACACCAGGTCTGGCCCTCTGGCTCCCCCATGCACTGCCTTGCTGGGAACGGAGAGGAGAAGCCCAGTAATTCTTTAAGGAAATGGCAGGCGAGAGGGCTGGTTCCTCCTCTTTCTGGCCTCATGTGTCCATGCTGTGCCCTGGGAGAGGGTGTAAACTAACCCAAGGGGGCTGACCATCGAGGCTGGAGTGCAGCATTGTGGAGTCAACACTCTTAGTGACAGGAGTCAAAGACCCACTCAGGCCACTGAAGGATTTGTAAAGTGAGGATTTATTATAGGGATGGGGGGCATTTAAGGAGTCCCAGCTTGGGAGCTGGAGCTGGACCTCAGGAGGGCTTGCCTGGAATGGAAGCCAGTCGAATGCCTACTGCTCCATCCCAGACAATCTCTCTGGGCTGAGGCCTCTCCCCACTGCACACTGATCAGGATGCTCTGCACACCAGCCTCTCTGAGTCCAACAGGGCAGAGAGCCATCCTGCCAACCAGTCTGCCTGTTTTCCGAGGTCTGCTGTCCCACAGTACTTGAGGCCACATTTTGGATCCTAGTAAGAAGAAACCTACAGTGCCAACCTGTGGGGTGTTCACCAGGCCACCACAGTCCAGCCACAGCTGTGGACCTACCATGGTGGGTGGTGGGTGTACAGGGACAGTCTTCTGAGCAGGAGGTAAAATTGGAAAGATGTTGGTCACAGTCTTAGGGGCAGAACTCTTGTTCCAAAAAGGCCTCAAAATCCTGTGTATCCTGGGAAGCTCTGGGTGAGAATTCCATGAGAGGGGGAGAATGGGTAGCTTCGTGGGAATTTTGGAGAATTTCCACTACCATGATCCTGAGCCACGAAATCATACCTGACATTTTGTCCCTCATCCTGCGTCCAGCCACTCTGCTGTGTCCTTCCAGTACCATCACCTGAGCATTTCTCCAGAATGGACCATGGGAAATACAGATTGGACCATGTGACTCTGGCTTCAAACCCTCTGGTAGCTCCTGCACCAGCCTCAGGTTAAAGGTGAATTCCTCAGGTGCTCTGCCCCTGGAGCCCCCTCGGTTCTAGGCAATTTCCTGCAGGGCTCAGCCCACAAGTTACGTACACCCTCTGTCCCGTTCCTGCCTAGGAGATCCCCTTCACCCCCTTTCTCTCTATTTTTATTTATCCCTTAAGACTTGGCTCAGCAGCCATCTTCTCAAGCAGGCCCCCCTATTGCTTCCAAGTTACCTGTTCATGCATCTGTCACCCCATGTCATCGGCAGGTGTTTTAGTCACCCTCACATCCCCCTCAGCCCCAAGCACAGAATCCAGCACAGAGAGTATTCTCCATTCATGTTTCTCTAGACTTGAGGAAAGCAGCTTTCAAAACATGTAAGGACATTTTCTCATAGCCAGAGAATCTGGAAGTGAATGTGAGCAGGTGAGTGAGACATGGGGGGAGGGGTGTGGGGTGGGAAAGGGAGGGGGCTCTTTGGGGGGCAACATGTCCCTGGGACCATTTTCATGAGCCTTACCAAGTAGTTAGCATGGGGCACAGCCCAAAGAGAGGCCACAGGGCCAGAGGGTGTGGGGTTTCAGCAAAGTGCTCAGGAGTTCCTGTGATAACCACTACAGGCCAGGCCCAACTTCAGCAATGTCACGTGGGCGTTGTCTGGAAGGCAGCAGGTGTGGCAGAGCCTCAGGCAGCCAGCTTTGTCAGGAGTGGTCAGAGTCAGGATGGTGGGGGCCCCAGCAGACTGTGGGCTGCAGTCTGGTTCACTATGGCAGGGTGTACTTCTAAAAGAAGCAGCCCCATACTGAACAGATCTCCAGAAACATTTGCTATAGGAAGCTTTGGTCAGCTGAAGGTGTCAGTCCGTGCGACCCAAACCCCCTGGGTAGGCTCTGCACCCTCTGCATGGCCGGGTGAGTCCCCTTGAAACCAGAGGACCACCATGTCCTCAAGACTTGTTGGTCTCTGTCAGCTGGGAGGATAGCATCTTCTGGCCTGAGCCAGACGTCCTCCAATCTACCCAGCCTCATTACCCACAGCCTCCTCGGCTGCCCAATCTCTCCAAAGTCAGGGCAAGGGTTTCTCTCAAGGTCAGGGCCCAGACAACATCTGGCACTGACATCAGCCCCCTCCTCATCCTGCAGCACTTGTAGTCATGACCCCTTGGGGAGAAGACAGACAGGAGTCTGATTTGCAGAAACTTGGGGCAGTTTGGAGCCTCGTGTCCAGGAGCATCATGGGAGCAGGTGATGCTCTTCTAGAGCCTGATTTAGGAAGGACACAGGCACATGGGGGAGGTGAGTTGCTGGCTCTCTTGTGACATTTACAGTCCAGTCTGTTCCCTTCATCACAGTAAGTGCAAGGGAAGGCTGTGGATGTTCCCTCTTTGGCGGTGCCATGTGTCCATCTCTTCCTCTTGAGTGCTCGTGACAGTGCATTGACCACCTCTCAGGAGCTCTGCCTGACTCCTGAGTCTCCTCTTGGGCACATCCTGGCCAGATGCCCAGGAACTCCATGCCAAATGCCTTCCATAGGTAGATTTTATGTTGCAGCTGGGACAAAGTGACTCTACTGTCTGTCCCTTGAGATAGGTCTGGGAGGACACAGGATGTAGGAGCAAAGGCTCCTCATGAGTGGAAACCTGGAAAGGGGGGCTGGGCCCAAAAGATGAACCTCTTCAACCATAAGCAGGAGACTGGGGTGGGTGGTACCATGCAGAGTTGGAAAAGGATACCTAAAGTCTACAGGGAAGAGGCAGGTAGCGTGTCACATGCTCCAGATCAGCATGCACATGCATCCCTCCTGTTCAACGCTGACTACACAAAACCAGGAGGAAAGGTACATGGTCCTGATGACAGAATGAGGATTCGAAAGAATCTTGACCCACTGGAATGGTGAGTGCAAACCCACAGCATGAAATGGAACCAGGAGAAATATAATGGCCAGTTCCCAGATTCCTTGATTCATAACTGTGGAAACAAAAAGATCATAATGGCTTAGCTAATCA